GTTCTCCAAGAGATCTTTTCAAGAGTACAAAAAGACTAGGACAAACTACTTGCAAACTGCATGTCTGATAAAGGACTTGTATCTAGAATTTATGAAGAAGTCTCAGAACTCAACAATAGCAAAACAATCTAATAAGAAAATGGGCAAAACACATGAAGAAAAATTTAACCGAAGAGGATATGTGGGTGGCAAATAAGGACACAAAAAGATGTTCAACAGCACTAGACTTTAGGAAAATGCAAATTAATAACGCCATGATGAGATATCACTAGACACACGGCAGAGTTAATATTAAAATTTTGTCAAGGATGGGAGAAACTGGTTCTCCTGTGCATTGCTGTTAGAAAAGTAAAATCGCATAGAATTTCAGGAAAACAATTTGGCAGTTTCTTTAAAAACTGTACATATACTTACCATATGAGCTGGGAATCATACTTCTGGGCATTTATCCCAGAGAAATGAAAACTTATGTCCACAGAAAACCTATACACTGAATGTAGATAGCAGCTTATTTGGAATTGCCCCCCAAGAAGAAAACAACTGATGCAGGAAAAACGGATATGGGGTGTTGGGCACCAAAGATACGATGCAGCAATAAAGGATGTGGGGCGTGAGGAGGGCCGTGTCCCAGGCTTCAGTTGAGCCCCTGGGACATGCCCCGCCATGTGTGGGTCCTTGGCTTCAGGCAGGAAAGAATTCAAGAGCGAGCCACAGTTGAGTAAAGGTAAATTTATTTACAGAGATACAATGAAAGGCAAGAGAAAGGCCATGAGGTGTGGGGGTGGGTGCTCAGACTACAGTAGAAGTAGGTACACATTCTACAGACAGCGCGCAGGCCCTGAAGAGGAAGAGAGAGAGAGGGCAGCGGCTGCGAGGAGGTGACAGTGTTGCCAGTTTTTATGGGCTTGGTGGCTTCATATGCTAATAAGTGGAAGGACCCGTCTAACTAGCCTGGGGAAGGGCCTGGGATTCCCAGGAAGTTGGCCATTTCCCACTCTTTGACCTTTTGTGGCTAGCCTTGGGACTGTCATGGCACCTGTGGGCATGTTACTTACCATGTTAATATATTATAATGGGCGTATAATAAAGCGCAAGATCTGCTAGAAGTGAATCTCCTACCAACTTGAGCCTCAGGGCCTACAAGGAGTTGAATCTTCCACCATTTTGATGTTAATTGCTGTATTATTCCTTGAATGGCTGTGCCCTGCCCTCTTCCTGTCTCACAATCACAATGTTCTACAATAGGTGATTAATTAAACGGTGGTACATCCATATGATGGAATACATCTCAGCAGCAGAAAGGAATAAACTCTTGATACATGCAACAACTTGTATGGGTCTCAAGGGTATTATGCTGAGTGGAAAAAGCCAGTCTCAGAAGGTCACAAGCACGTAACAGTCAATATTTTATATACAGCAAACTTAAATGACAAAATAATACAGACGGAGAAAAGATAAATAGTTGCCAAGGGTTAGAGATTCTGTGAGGATGAGGGTATGACTAAAAAGGGATTGTACCAGGAAGATCTTTGCTGTGTTGGAATAGTTGTGTCTTGATTGTGCTAGGTGGTTATAAGAATCTGCGAGCGACAAGATGACACAGAATTACAAGAACACTTTCTCAATGTCAATTTCCTGATTTAATAACTTGTCACTTTCCTGATTTAATAACTATTCTATAGTTATGTAAAATGTAAACCATGGTGGAAACAAAGTAAAGGATGTATGGCACCTCTTTGTATCATCTTTGCAACTTCCCGTGAATCTATAATTCAAAATCAAAAGGTTTTTGTTTTTTGATTTTTTCTTTCAGTAGATGCCCAGGCCATACCCCAAACCAAGTAAATAAAAATCTCTAGGGAAGGAACCTAGCACTGTATTTTATTTTTATTTATTTATTTATTTTTTAAGTTCATGGAATTCTGAAGTGTGGCTAGGGTTGGGAACCACTGGCAGCTAATGTTACCACTGAAACTACAGGTGAGTGAAACACCTGTGATTAAGTCTAGTTGAAGACAGAAAGGAAGGGGGAAAAAATAAATGTGCAAATCTGTTTTTGCTATCTTGAAGATCCCCCTCCTCCCATGTTGAATCCTGGCATTTAAGTGAATCCAAATAATGTGGATGGGATAATCACTCATCCATTATGTTAGAGACACTTTCATACAAAAAAAAAAAAAGGCAAACCCAATAAACTGTTCTTTGGATTCTAAAGCATTTGGCATCAATGTTATAATTTTAAAATGCTAAGGAGAATTACAATCACACTTAAATATGCAACAATTTTAGAAAATTAATGTCTCACACAGTCCTCACTTTTGATGCGTAACAAAATGAGTCTGGAATTTTTATTTTATTTCATTATTTTTCAGTAAACTGCTACCAGCCGTTTCCTGGGAAACACGTGAAAAGTAAATATTCCAATCTTGATCATGAATTCTAATATATTAGTTATTTTTTATTAATGATCATCAACTACTATTAGTCTAGTCTCTCTGCACTGAACTATGCCTTATGTCTGGTTAGTAATCATTCCTTAGCACCATCATCAAGATACTCAGCTGGGCCAGAACTTTTAAAGTTTAGAAAAAGTCCTTCTCTGCCTTCGAAGGGTTTAAAATCCGTTTGAAGACAGAACTAAATATTTAACCAATAAATAACAAAGCAAAAAGGATATGCTGAGCTCCGGACTAACAGCAAGTTGAAAAGGGCCAAAGTGCTTGTTTTTTTACTGGAGGTATTTTTGCAAAAGCTGGAAAGGGGAATTTGGGTCCTCTGGGCTCATGGAACCCGAAAAAGAGCAGCTTCAACAATGCAAATTTATGCTATCCGTGGGAGGGTTTCGTTTAGTTCTCAGTTGTGGACTTAATTCCAAAAAATGCAGCTGTTTTGAAGAAGTTTGTCAAAAAAAGCGAAATAAAGCATAAGGAATTACCTCCCACCCAACTCTGGCCAATAGCTATGTCTTCCCCCGCCCCCAACCCGCCACCCCCGCGGGGCCCGGACCTCAGGGCTTAAAGATTTCTGGATGTGTGTGGAGTGAGGGTGGAAGTGGGTTGCGTACCGAACAATTTGCCTTGCCCCGAAAACCACCAATCTCTTCCATCTCTCCTTCCCTTTCTTTCTCTCTCCCTCCGTCTTCCTCCTTCCAAATACCTCCTGACCCTCACACACTCTCCATCCTAATTTACAGCACTACAACTTCCCAGATCTGTTTTCTCTTCTAGAAAGATTTATCTTTCTGGAAGCGTTCAGTTCCTAACTTCAAGTTCCTAACTGTCGTGAAGTATGATTTAAAATCAAAATAAGAACCACCGCGTTTTAGGAAGGGAAAGTGCAAAATTCTTTTAAAGAAAGTTGTTTTGTGATTGTGGGAGGTAATCAACGCCTACTGCGACATTCTTCCCTGAGACAGCTGAGGTTTATCATTTTCGCTATTATGGCAATAAATTTTTCCTTCTTTTGCTTTACGCCTTTTGGCAGGAGCTTCGACTCCGCAGGTGCTAGCGCTGCAAGGGCTGAACGCCACCACCAGTCGGTCGGCCGAGCCTAGCATGGGATGTTGCCCAGCAAAACACAGAGCCCAGGGAGACCGCGCCGGAGAAGGGGAGCCTGCAAGCACGCTTCCGAAGAGACTGGGACTAAAGCCCTATAAAACTAGAGAGAATGCATTTCCCGGCAGGGGGAACCCGCAGGAGCCTGGAAAAAAAGAGAGAGAAAGAAACCCACCCCCGCGCTCCCAGGCTCCGCGCGAGCGAGGGAGCGCGCGGGCCGCCGGGGCTGCTCCAGCTGGAAGTCATTGTGCCGGCTGGCGTCTGCGTTGCCAGGGCGACCGCCCGACCGGCGCCAGCGGA